TATATATATATATATATATATATATATATATATATATATATATATATATATATCACCTATTGATGTTTGGCGCATACCGACTGCTGTTGAGTTGTTTTAATATTTGCTGGCAAATATTTGCTAGTAAACGTGGCATTGCCAAAGTTATAAGGATATATTATAAGCATGCACGCAAAAAAATGTCTTAGTAATATCAGCTTAATGGTAGCTGATTCAAACTTAGTCAAAAGGCTAATCGTTTAGCTGTCACTGCTAAGAATTGGCTATGACAGCTAAAATGCATTCGCTATTAAATATAAATATATTAGGTGACATTAAAAATGCACATTATTTCAAGTAGCTAAGAAAATGACAGTTATTTCTAAATTTCATATCGTATGCATATGTTAAAGAAGTTTGCCGCACAGCTACAATCATTTGCTACAGTCATTTGTTTCTAGCAGCTAATATTTCTCGCTAAGAACGCCTAAGTTTAACAGCGAATAAATTTAGCTTCTGTGGTATCGACATTAGCTGTCCCTATTTCAGTGACATATCTTATTTGCCACAGCTATTTTTTAGCTCTGGAAACTAGTTTTTTTTTGCGTGTGAATACAAAGATATCGTCATAGCTCGTACACTCTAAAAAAATTTGTTTAAATTTCCATGTAATTATGAGACCAAGTATTATAGTTGTAAATTTACACACATATCAAAATGTGTCTTTCGTCTATATAAATATATTTTTATGCGATAATTACGTGTATAAATTTACATCTATAATAGTTGGTCTCAAAATTACCCACTATAATAGATGTAATTTTACACAAATTTTTTATAGGACTCACCAGTTTTTGTCCGATTATGAGATAAAGCATCGGTGAGTGGATTTGAGAAAGCATAAGTGCTGGATCGAATAAAACCACACCACAGACGGAACTTCACGTATGAAGCGATAAAAAGCATTGATATAAAAAGTAAAAAAAATATAGATGTCTTAAAATAGTTTAAGTAATACGATGAGATTTTTTAAGTAAAATAAAAAACTACCTAAAACACAATTTTTATCTCGGGTACAAGCTTTTGTACATTGAGGAAAAAATTACCTTAAAATCAACAAATATTACTTTGATGGGTGCCATTAACATATTTATTTAAATCTAAATTTTCTTTAGTTAAATCAAATATTGTTTACTTAAATCAGGTAAACAATATTTGATTTAAATAAAGAGAATTTAGATTTAAGTAAATATGTTAATGGCACCCATAAAAAAAATATTTGTTGATTTTAAAATAATTTTTCCCTCAGTGTAATAGTTACCAAATATCTCATTTTCTACTGCTAAGATTTGACATTAACTTCCAGAATTTAATTTAATGGCCTAAATGTATAGTTTAAACAACCAAATGTTGATTCTGAAAACTATATATTTGCTTTATTTAACTAAATTATTTTCTAATTATCACTTTACGTATTGGCCCGCATTATTTGACTGAATAATTTAGCAACAACTGTCAGATTTTAGTACTCGTTACGAAATCTTTTTTCATTGTACACGTCCGACGGGAAGGAACGAAACTTAGGGGTGACAATGAATGTCGATCGGGGGCGCGCTGCGTGAGGGCGCGAAACGGGAGAAATAAAAGTTTGTGGGGTTGTGTGTGAGAGCTCCTTATTGAGCCATTTGCATGGATCGAGGATCGCGGCGATCACTTTGATCGGGGCGCGCAAACCGCCTCGATGTCGTCCATGTCTCTCGGGGAGCTTGCGGGATAAGCTGGGCGCGGAGAGAGTGGCCGGAGTTCGCGTATCTTTGAATGAAGCTCACAGGAGGCTCGGCCGCCGCCACCAGCGCGGTAGAGCGCGAATTAGTATTTAAAAATATGCGCGCCGATAGATGCGGTTTTCATGTCGCGCGCTCAGGACGCCTCCCATAAATATGATAACGCCGTATACGTAGCGAGATACCGCGCCGATCTATAATTCTTAGTAGTCTTACTTAAGGGTCTAATACAACCCTGGCCGCGGACGTTGCGATAATGATACCGCAAGAGAGAAAAAGAGAGGAGCGGGAGAGGGGGAGAGGAGAAGGAAGAGAAAAGGAGAGAGAGGTAGTCGCTTCATCGCGCTCGTAAAACGAACGGTCCGTGACGCGTTCGCGCGCGTTAAAAATTCATTAAATCGATTTGCCGACGAATTCGGGTAAAAGGTCCGCGAAACGTAAGCTTCGAAATGTCGCTCGCCGATTGTCAGGTGTCCCGCAAAAGATAACTACGTTCGCAAATATTTCTAGGTTCTTGCTCTTCTCTTCTTTTCTTTCTTCTTTTTAATTTATATATTTTACGAAGTGTAGAGAGAGAGAGAGAGAGAGAAAGACGGAGAGAAAGACCGAGTTCCCGGCGGAAAATTGTGCGGAATCGCGCGTGCACAATGCCGCCTCTTTCGTCCTCTCCCGTATCAGCCGCGAC